GTTCTGAATGTTGTACTTGCTGATGCGTTATATATGGTTCCCTTTCGGATAGTGTTATTTTGTTTCCTCGTACGCCTGTTAACAATACTGTTGCTATTAACGAGAACATCATAATGTGAAAAAGGAACCATTGGGGGAGGTAGTTCTCCTATTGTGAAGTTAGTGGTGAGTCGTTCTGGCGCGTAATTTATCTAGTAATTGGCGTGGCCGAAGGTTATAGGTGTGTTTCGATTCTTCTTGCGCAGCCGCTTTTTGATAGTATTTCATGGTCTTTTGAATTTTCTTCACTGTCTGCGATTTCCAGTGGCACAATGAGATTTACAGGACGCTTTATCCGTCGTTTCGCGGCTGTTACCAATTCAACTTCTCGAATTTGTCCATCCCTACTATAGCGTAGATTGGTTATGCGGGCCATTTTCCAAGCATTGAGGTAAGATTGGATCGCTCAGAAGTACGACTGTCCCAATTCTAGGTTCTAGTTGATTGGATGTCGTTGTTTTGATATAAATCTTCTATGCGTTTCCCGCAGGCTGGTGAGGTAATGTTTCTGCCACACCTCCCAAAAGCATTCAGCGAATTCGCCAGAGGATCTTAGTGCCTCTTCGGCATGGTTTCTTGTTCTGAGCGCTACCCCTTGTGTAGGTAATGTACATGGGTCGCTTGTTGAGTCTTCTTCAAGAACCTGATAGGGGAATGTGACATTTAAATCCCGTTGGATAAAATCGGTTGGCCGAATGGAGCTGAAATCGTCCTGCTCAGAACTTTGATATGTGAGCGGTCGCGAATTGAGACATGCTTCTACCTCTGCCAATATAGATTTCTAAGTCGTCTCTTCACTTTGAGCGATTTGTACAGAGCGTGCTTGATGGACTTAATAAGGCGCTCGTAGAATCCACCCTGCCATGGTGCGTAAGGTGTGTTGCAGAACCACTCTATCTCATGTCGCGACATACGTTTAGTATTTCTATTAGGTTGTCCGGAAAGTTCTTAGCGTTTTGGGTGTTTAACTTTAAACGATCATAACTTTCTTAACACTCATCGGATTTAATCCAAATAAGCACCATTCGAATCAGCACACTTTTGCCAATGTGGCAGCAGTCGAGAAATCCCATCAAAGAAAAAACTGGGTGGTCGAGAATCCACGAAATCTGCGAAGGTCTTTTTTGCCTGGTCCTGTTTGATGAAGTATTTCTCAGCAGGAAAGTTCTGAAAATGTCTGAAAAGGTGACAGTCGGTTGGTGAAAGGTCTAGAGAATATGGTGGGTGAGGTAGAACTTCAACTCCCAATTCGTTCAATTTATGGATAGTGATTTGTGAAACGTGTGGGCGGGCGTTGTCATGCAAAAGAATCGGACCCTTTCTTTTGATAAGTGTTGGCTGCAGCTGACAATATTTTCGGTACATTTGGTCGGTTTGTTCACAGTAGGGTTCTGCTGTGATGGTTTGGCCTGGTGATGAAAAGTTATAGTGGATTACAACAGCCGATGACCACCAAACCTGACCAGAATTTTTTTTTCGCGATGGGTTCGGCTTGAAAATTACCGGCTCCGGTGGTTTCCTCCAAATCCAACCACTGTCCGAACGTCTCCTGTTTCATAATGGTCCCATTTTGCATCACAGGGACAAATTCGCCTCAAACAGGGTGTCGTTTCTGCTGCGCAAAAGCAATGCAGAAGGAATCGAGACGTGCCGATTCCTGCCGGTCACTCCGATTGTGGGGCACCCAATTGTCGAGTTTTTTCACCTTCCCAATGCGTTCCAGACCATCTGCAACAGTGGATTTGCCAAGGCCTAGCTCTTCTGCTATCTCTCGAACTGTTTGGGATGGGTCAACCTTCAAAATCCCCCTAAAATCCTCGTCAGATATTGCTTTAGGTCGACCGCTATGAGGCTCACCTTCAAGGCTGAAATCTCCAGAAGCGAAATTTATTGAGCCATTGCCGCACAGTGCTTTCTCTAGCACTATTGGGCCCCACACCTGGTTAATTTGTTGAGCTGTTTCGATTGCGGATTGCCCCAATTTATAGTCGAAGAAAAAAATCGTCCGAAGTGCTCTTTTGAAAAAATCTTGAAAAAAGAGGGTTTATCAAGCAATGGTGAAACGGCAATTATACCATCAGATAGCGCAAGAAATTCTCTACAGGATGTGCTACTGAGAAGCAAGGCAGAATGTTTTAATCAGCAGTGAATGTACAAAGATTAGGTGCACAAAACGCTAAGAATTTCCGGACAACCTAATATGTTAACGTTTGTTTGGTCGGCTCCTGCGTTTAAAATCTCTGCCCACAATAAAAATGTGGGAGCGTTGTCACTAGCTATAGAGCTGGGAACACCTCTGCGCGCACTAAAGCGTCTAGGTGCGTTCAGAAAGTCTCCATTTCTCATACTTTTCACTAATTCCAGGTGAATTAGTCTTGTTACTGTGCATGTAAAAATGCATCCGTACACTTCCGACTTCGTTTCCTTTTTTCTTCTTCAATCATGGTTAAATCAAAAAAAGTCGATGCCAACGTGTTGAAAAACGTTGACTTCTCTTGGACACGTTTCTTCCGTAAATCCGTTGTTCTGGTGCGTATGGAAGGCCGTTGAAATCTGCGGCATTCAAACACAATGTTTTATCACATGTTTTATCACTTGTCGGACTTGTTGCCTTAGTTTTGGTATCCAATACTGTGCTCGAACTGTTGCCATCGTGTGTTCGATGCCTTGGTGGTAATCCCCATGTGCTTCGTTGATAATAAGAGCAGCTAGCGAGTCTCGCATCGGCATGAATATGGGGCTCTTTGCTTGTTGGTTCAAAGCGGAGTTTCCAACTCGTCCTCTTGAGCACCATATATCGTCATCATTTTTGAAGAGTCGTAGCGTATTTTGTATGTTTTTACAGTATTCGCTCGTATTGTGTACTGCCTGATGGTTTCGGACGATAATTCGTTTAGCTGCTGCGATGGCATTCCCGCTGAGAGTGCCTAGTGACTTGGCTGAATCTTTGAGTTCTCTGATGCTGTCGGCCATGGCATTCTTGCGGCTTTCAAGTAGTGCGTTCATTAACTTCTTGATGAACAGCATCAGCAGCGCTGCTACCCTTTTTGCCTTTTGAAATGAGCTGAATCTTTTTAAATCCAATATAGGGGCTACTGCCGCGTGTTCTGTGTGCGCACTTGCGTTGATTGGTTGGAAGTGAGGGGGGGGTTTATCTTGAAGGGTAAGCGAAACGTATACCGATCACTTCTTTTCTCAATTGTCTCATCGAAAAACTTGGAGACCCTTTCGTTGATTGCCGTTTTTTTCGGCGTCCTTTGTGGCCTGTAAACTCACATATCCCTGCTGAATCCATTGTCCAATATTTGTCCCAGCATTGTAGATATCTTTCTTCCTCGGTTAGCGTTTTGATCATTGTAATCATGCTGGGTTGAGTGTTAAGGCTGTGCGTTGCGTGAAGTTCATTCAGTTGTTGTTTCCCCGTGAGAAGGTATCCCAGCTTTGATGGTATAAGTCTCAAGCCTGATGAAAGCGTATAGTGCGGTGAGGAAACTTCTAACAAGTCCCATAGCTGATCACAGCCCAAAAGAATTTGTGGTTTTGTCGTACAGGCCATGATGTTGGAAAGGAGAATACCTCTTTGCGTTATGAAGTCGATGTCTTCTTGCCCGAGCTGTGTGATTTGACCTTTTTCGGTCAAGATTGGAGTCGTATACAGTCGCATTTTGTGCACTTCTCCCTGGTTGTCCCACAATTCTATGGAGGTCACCGCGCATTTTGCGATTTTTGGATTGTTTGCCCCGAAAGTATACATTTCTAAGTTGTGGAATTCCCCACACTCAAGTCCTAACAAGGGAACCCCAACAGGTCGATCCGGCCATTTACAATGAGATGTATACGTATGGACGTGTCTTGAGCCGCTGAATCCGAATCTGCCCTCCGATTTTGCGGAACGATTCTCTGAAGGGAGTTACGGACCATTTAATCTTTGCTGTGTTTGCACAAGCTGACCAGGAAAGGCCAACACGTCAGCCCGGCCATTTGCAACGAAATGTACATCATTGTACTCACCTTGCCACGATGAACACAAGACTCACCTCGCCACGATGAACACAAGACTATCTTTGAAATTTGGCGAGACCGATTCCCTGAGCGGAGTTGTGAGGTTTTCCTTTATTGCTTTTCTTCTTCCGGGCGCGCCAGCGCCAAAGCGTTAGCACCTGTAGCGCAACTCACAGCGCTCTTCGCGCAAAACAGGTATCATATTCGTGTTCAGGGGGTCAAATAACCCCTAGAGACGTCACCCCAGCGGAATCCGAGGTTCTAACTCATTTTCGAGAAAATGGGTTATGAATAGCTGTGGCTGACTGATAGCCAAAGCGATACTACGACTACCATACTGATGATGACTGGTTTTCCAACTGAAATACCTCTTCATGTGCCTTTTCGCAAAGACATTACCCGGCTTACTTATTCTTGCCGTTTGCATCATCGTCCTCTTTACCACGAGGTAGTTCCATCTCGAGACCATTCACCAACGGTAGGCTCCCCTATGCTTTCGATCACCCATGAAACAGCACACGTTTTGCAAGCTAGTGAAATATCAGATTCGCCAGAAATTGTCCGCCAGGGGTAGGTTTGACTCGCTGGACAATGAAATATAGATGGATATTTCATTGCAAAAACCCTTGTGACATGTGGTTATCCTCATAATAAAAAAGTTTTCAAGAGGAACCCTACATGGGGAATCGCCCGCCTTTCGTTGGCAACTAATCAAGAAATTAGGCGAAATGGCCAAATAGAAATTTCGGAGGGCTCATACCAAGTGTTTTGAATGAAAAGCAAACAAACGAAGCTAAGATTAACTGGTCCGGATAACTCCCTTGGAGAATCGTTCCGCAAAATCGGAGGAGCAGATTTGGATTCGGCGGCTCAAGACACGTCCATATTTATACATCTCACTGCAAATGGCCGGATCGACCTGTTGGGGTTCCCTTGTAAGTCTTCCGTTAATCTCTGGCTTATAAAGGACTGATCTGCGCCTGTGTCAAAAAGTATTTCAACCGATTGCAATTCTTGCCGTTTTGTATTCCATATGTGCGCTACTCCGGTTAGAAGGAGCACACTTTCCCTTGGAGTTCCTTGGTGTGATACAGAAATGTCAGGATTATTGTCTGCCCATGCCATGATAGTGTCTTTCCTCTTGGCTTGTGGTACCAATTTGGATCGGGTGCGCGTGTTTGTTTTGAGAATTTTGACTATTTCTCTGCGTTGGCCCATGTTGTGTTTTGGCCTCTTCCGGTTTTGTTGGCGTGTGAACTGTTTCGTGACGGTTGCATTCGTTTGTCTCCGAGGACATAACGCGTGGAAATGTTTCTTCCCTTGACAGTTTCTACATCAATCTTTTGTGCAGTTTTGATGCGAAATGTTGATGCGCTCCTCCGTTGCTATTTGTGCGTCCAGTGCGTCAACGATGCGTTGCATTTTCCATGCATTTTCCGACATATCCTTGGGTCGTTAAGGTCCTCAAGGATCTTGCGTTGGATTCTAGGTGTAAACTTGGACAACACTTTTTGGGTGTTGTACGAGCCGTCCAGATTCACTTCTAATTTGTGTAGCTGCATAACCAGGGGAATGATATATTCCAGTAGCTTCCTTTGCCCTTGGGTCGAGGGTTTGTCTGCTTTCGCGTTGTCCAGGCGTTTCTGCAGTACCCTCACGAGTTCCGCCTTGTTGCCATACTTCTTTTTTATGAGATCAATTGCCAACATATAATTGTCGTCTGTGACTGGGTATCGCTTTATTAGTTCACGAGCTTCTCCCGGAGCGCACTCAACAAATAGTTGAATTTTTGTAAATTGGTGAGCGAGTTTTGGTTATGGAACATTATCTTGAAAAAGCGTCCAAAAGTTGTCATATTCCCATATTTTTCCATCGAAATTCGGGATGGGAATGGTAGGGAGCTTCGGTGGATTGGTTTCGTGCTGCCCTAATCCTTGCCCCTGTGTTCTCGGTGCGGGTGTCCTATCGGTGTGCATTACTTCCCGTATACTTATGCGTTTGGCTTCAAGTTCAATAGCTAGCCGCTCAGCGCGATCAATTGCGGTATGTGCGTTTTCCATGTACTCTACGGCCTGATCTTCTTGTTCTTTGGTGAGCGAACCAGATAGTGAATCAACTGTACTCACAAATGTTGCTAAATGGTCGCTAAGTAATCGCGCTGTAGCTTGCAGCTCATACGCTAGTGAAGTTATGCGTTCAAAATCGCCGGTAGTGGAACTTGAAGAAAGCCTTTTAATGTGCTATCTCCCTCGCATCTCTCGATTATTTCATTCAAGTTATTACAATATCGCGTTAAAAGGCCTTTTTGCGAGCGGAGTCTGATGGGTGCCGGATTGTTGGACATTTTCCCCCTTTTTTTTTCAAAAGTTTTTGCGTGGAAAACTTATGCGAATAGAAGGTGAAGAAAAATGTGGAAAACTTATGCGAATAGAAACGGAAGAAAAATTTGGAAAACTTATGCGAATAGAAACGAAAGAAAAATCTTATGCGTTGGTAGTTGGGAACTAACCTCTTCCTTTTCGCTTATAGCCGATGCACCAAATAAAGAGACTATCCACTTTAGCAATATATGCGTATAGTATAGTCGTGCCACGCGGTATAATTGTGTGTCGCTTTCCAATAGAGGCAACCGAGCAACGATTTATGTAAGGGAAACAGAACAGCGTTATTTACTGCAACAGGAAAAAATATAACAGTAGGTTATCGGAACCGAACTTATGCGTGAGTGCTTATGCGTATTAGAGAACCCGAATGTGTTATACAGGCCGGGGCGAGAAATAGAAAAATGCGAAGACGGAAACTGAAAACTGAACGCTGAAGACTGCACAGTGAAGACTGCCGACTGAAGGCTGCACACTGTGGAGACTGCACCCTGGAGACTCGCGACCCCCCCTTTTGAGAGCCCTTAATATACCCTCAGTGGGATCTAACAAGATGTCAAAGGTTAAGTCCAAATTCCAGGGAGACCACCCACAGGTCAATCAATTCCATGGGCTCGCGTGGGGTCTGGCATTGATGTTCGGTAGATCGAGCCCCCATGACATACAACTAGCAACTTGGAGTTGCAATATGTCCCATATGTTCACTGACGACGAGCACATGGGATGACGCAATGCTTACGTAAATCCTCGCCAGTAATGCTGCTTCCCTGCCGCCGAGCCCTTCTCCAATGTCGGCGAGTGGATGCGGATGAGGTCGTGGCCGGGGGCCCCAAAGCTCTGCGCACGCTCCAGTGCGTTTTGCCTTCTTGCAACCATGTTGGGCAACTCCTAAAGTTTCCAATGCTTGAATAGGCAGGATGGAATTTCACAACTTACCAACAAGCAGGCAACGGGTTTCGTTGCTACTGGCTCCAACAGCATAGCATTCTGCAGAATGGCAAAACGCCTGCATATTTGCAAACGTTGACTGCACCACTCGTGGAGCCCTGAAACATTCGAAACTGGATTAGGTAAGGGATGAAAAGAGGAACCAGTGCTTAGCCGCTATGAGTCGTAGCATTCTGACTACCTCATTCTGGGGTTCCTGAACGCTCCAGCGTCCCCTACCCGACCTGAATCGAAAGTTAATATAACTCGCAGTCTACCAAACGACAGTAATGTTATAGAGAAAATGCCTAACTGTAATACATACGCTGCCGGAACGAGCAGGCTTCTGCGACCGGTTCACGTAACAAATTTGTGAATTTGCTGAAGCAATTTCTCCTTCTTCCCACGCGAATATTGATGTCCTTGCCCTCCAGGAAAACGCGGATAGTCACCAACGCTTGCCTGGCGTCTTCACGGCTATTTCTTCCAGGTCACTTTGCATGAGAGGTGGGAAAGCCTCAGTGAACAGGGATAAGACCATTGCATTCGAGCGCGACCGATAGCGAGAGAATTTTCGCTATTAGCGTTCTGCCCTAAGACCCCATTCCGTTATGCATCTGCGCCGGTGTCTGTAGTACTGGACGCGTAGGCTTTACACCAGTGTATGCTCCTACTGGCCACAAGCTACCGAAGAGTTAGCCGTGACTCCACATACCTTGAAGGACTTAGTCCATATGTGAGATTTTCCTCTCTTGGGTATCTATTACCTCAAAAAGGTGAAAAGGCGTTATCTCTCTGGTACTGGAGGAATGTGAGTAACTGAATTCTCCGGCGAACTGTCTAGCCAGGCAAATATCGTTGAATCCCGCTGGCGTTAGCCTGGTATAGTGCCAGAACTTGCGCCGATGACTCCGAGCTAAGTACTGTTCAAATGTTTGCATGCGGCTGCGGAGGAACGGCATGTGCTCTAAGCGCACCTACTCCCAGGTTCGCCTGCTTCTGCGGTACCTTTCATATGCGTCCTGCGTCCTCCAACTCGCTTGATCTAACACTTCTGCTACTCGACGAGGACGGCTGGCCATTCTTCAGATAAAATAGACCATTCCGATTTTTTTTCTCGATACAGTTTGAACTCTATCTTTTTCAGGTAATCACGCTCAGCTGGATGATGCGACTACGAATATCGACATATAGTGCAATACATGCGACACGATACTAGTGATGACATGAATCATGATACGATACTTGTTTAGCCTCCATGGACACAATAATGAATATTAGAAGCGGTGGAATAGCGCAAATATTTCCAGATATAGTCGCACCTGGATAAGAGTGAGGAAAAGTACAACTAAGGTAAAGGTGGTTGTATTGACTGAACCCCTTCACACAGTCTTTGGATCCAATCAGAAATCCACTACTCCCTTCCAACAGGCTTTATGTACTCCGAGGATGGGCAAAATAGAAACAAATTACTGTGGAAAAGGCAGAACATCGTGTAGAACATGGAGCGAAACAACAAAACAAAGCGGAATTTACCACGAATAAGATGACTTCAGTGAAACAATCAAAAGAAAACACTGGGCAGAAATCATCTGAAAACTAACATAAGTCCAAGCCATGAAAACCAAGAACAAAAAGAAGACTACCTCGAATAAGATGACTTTCTTGAAGCATTCATCGAAAAAACACTCTCAGACAACTCGGGCAAGCCAAACAGCAAAGAAAAACCAGCAGATTAATACTCCCAAAACACTCGTTTAAGTTGAAACTATGAAACACACCAGTAAAAGGAAGCCACCAACAGACCAGCTCTCAGCAAAGCAAAAACCTGTGTTGCGAAGTGCGTGAAATAGAACGAAGACAATTTTGTAATCGAATAACTGGGATCAATAGGGGTGTAGCATACAAGATGAGACATCGAACACCTATAACAACTCTGAGACTAACAGCTTAAAGGCACGTTCAGCGATAAACTAAGGTTAGAACCTCATAAACGTGCACCATGATCAAGCAGGCAACTGTAGAGGATATGCTGCTTTTAAGAGTTGAAAAACAGCGACAGAAGAGACGCTCATGTATTAGGCCCATTGGTGCCCGATAGGCTCATGCCGGCCTCCGGTGACCGTGTCGTTGTGACGTTGTCATTGCGCTCTCTCGCCCTTCATTTTCTGGCCTCTCTCGTCTCTTATCAGTGTATCGCCGCCTTTTGCAATCCACAATCGATCTTGACCACCTTACGCTCGTCCGGTGATCATGATCAATTGAAAATACAAGAGAGTCTATTGCGAGCCGCTTTTTCGTGTTCGCTCCTCTTCAATCTCAAGTAAGGTCAACGAATGCAGAAGGGCAAATTCTATTTTTGAACTGTATTACCTATGAAGTGTGGTCGCGGGAATTGCCTTCAAATCATGCACGGTGTAAGCCACGCCGGCTCAGGCGTGGAATCGGCGTTCCAGGGGAATGACTCATGGCTGTACTTTCAGGGCGTGACGGCGAGGCGAGGACGAGCCGACATCTCCACGACAGTCGATCATCTGCCGATCTTCTCAGTGCCTTCAGGGCGAAGCCCTGCCTCATCCAGAACTGTTGATCTCCTGTAGTCTGTCGTGTAATTGTCGTGCCTATTAGTCTATGTAGTGGATCTTTGCCATTTAATGTACTCTTTGTAAACGCCATTCATACGCTGATCTCATATATTCCATTGATGCCTTAAGGATAAACTTTAGTGAATAGACAGCCTTACGACAGAAGCAGGAAATGCAGCTTCCGCGGTGCGCGCTCGCTTACTGGTAGCAGCGAGTGGTTCACCCCTCGCTGTGAGTCTGGGAGGCAGGTAAGGATTTCAGATGCCTAGCATGGTGGTGCCGATGCAAGATGGCCACTTGTACTCGGCGATCGGTGAGTAGCCCGGCATCCGGAATTATCGCCCTGGTGATCGACTCAAGGCGGAAAACACCGTATGTTGGATTCTTGAGCTTCGAGGATACGGTATTCTTCTCGCCTTCCTTTTTTCTTACGTGCACGACCCTAGACGGGGGTCTAAACCGTCAGGCGCCTTATGGTTCAGGTACGAGCTCGCGATTGCTACGGTAAGATACGTTTCGAAGGTTCGTCCCGCGTTAGTGAAGTTGGTGCACCAGATAGTATGCAGACCGGCTAGTTGCGTGGTGGGTAGTGGTTGAAGGGACGTTAAAGATTAGTTTTGGCTCGTTTTTTTGTGCGACCCACAGGTGAGTTGCTTTGAGCATGTAATGCGATCCAGCTAGCTGTTGTTCGAGTTTTATTTAGACGTTGAAGTTTAGCCGGCAAAAGAGAAAAGAAAAATAAAAGGTCTGACGTTGGTCCGAGGGGCCCGCTACCCATGCTTGTTCGATTATAGACATTCGTTTTGGCTCACACCCAGACGAATTTTTACGGCGGAAGTTTGCGTAGTGTATTTTGACCGAAGTTTTCACAAGGACAGGTCATCCAACAACGATAAGCTTTTCAAGTGCCCTCCACCGGTACCTGGGGCGGCGCAATTAATGACCCTTGTCCAAACGGTTGTAAATGCAATCGAGATAACGGCGCGCCGGAGGGATTGTACTCTATTGCTTTTCGAATGTCGCCGCGGGGCTTACTCCAGGATATTATGATTCCCGGCAGTACTTCCAATTCGAATCGTTCAACTCTTTTCTTGTTTGTACCATTTCAGCAGTTTCGAAATCTTTGAAGAAACGAAAGTTTAATTGCCCTTTGACTCACCGTCCTTAGAACAGACAGTTTCCCATGCTTTCAAACGTGGTTTTTGTCATGTTTTGATTCCCCGCGAGAACATTCTTAACCGCACGAGTTCAACCGCTTGTTTTTTTCCCATCCCCCCGGCAGTATGTTGTCCTTTACACAAAGCCATTCTCTTTATCTGCCTTGAAAATCACGCTTCGGACAACGCAAGCCACAAATTCTTTCATCAAGTGCTTTCTTTCATACGTGTCATCTGCTGGGAATTTCGTTTAAACAAAGGATCGTCTCAAAACATTTCAACATTCCGAGCACTTATGGTCCCATTCCCAATAAACTTAAAGTGACCTCTCGGGTTACTGTAGCCCCGCCCCCTCATTGGTTGGCTCCGCCCCCTTGTACTGTCCGCTACATAAACTGGTAACCATGGCACTGAATCATCATTAGTACTCATCGTGTGCTATCAGCGATCATCGTGGTATTCTCGTTCTGCTTCTATGGGTCCGATCACCCGGTCTCGAGCTGAGTCGGCGGACTCCAGGGCGGTCGCCCCGACATCTCGAAGTACTACGGAGCCTTCCGCGCATCGGAACCATGCTAGGCCGGTAATCCTGGATCATTTGATACGGCGCCAACGTGCACGGTAGGGACGCCAAGTCTCTACGCGACGCGACGGTACTCGCCATTGCGGAAGCAAGGAACGACTCTCTGGAGGAAACATCCAAGCTCAAACAGAGGATCAATGAAGGTAACTCTACCCTATTGGCCGATTTGAACCAGTCGTTCGCCGCAGTCGGTGAGCGGATTAATGCTATTCCATTAGTTGCTTCCGTTAGCCCGGATGGGCCGATACCCCGAATTGTTCCTTTCACTGGTTCAGGGGAAGATCCCATGCAGTTTTCGCTTTGGTTTAACGCCTCGAAGACATTATGCGCATGAGATCTACCACCTGGACACCCCAGCAAAAGGCTTATTTTTTAATCGGTTTTTTAGATGGTGTCGCTCGGGGAGAAAGCAGAGGACTTTCTGATAGCAGGAAGCGTGACGACAATGCAACATGGTCGCTTCACACTGCGTCAGTCATTGCGAAGGTGCTACAGCCGATATATGGCGCGACAATCCTCGATCGCCCTCTTGTCAGCAACCAGACAGGTGAGTCCGGTCTTCTACTTTCGCTAACCGTCGACAGCGGGCGGGGGGGGCTGTTAGTCACGCTCATCCAAACTACGAGTGATCGTACCCGTCTTTAAGAGTGTCTTTAAGTGATAAATGTGGTGCAGAATACAAGAGGGCTGCAAGTATGGTCTCCTTCTTTCCCACAATTTTTTTGGGCACCCTCGGATACGCAGGTTGGCAGTTTCATCATAGTAGCGGTTCTGTATATTCTTTCACTTTTTAAATGTGTCAGCATTTTCTGTTTCCTGCTGTTGCGAAATTCCGTTACGCTATTTGAAAATCCGACGTTGCCAACTTGCTCACCTTGAGGCCACAACTTGCCCACTGAGAACTTCTTTCAACTGACTAGAATATAGCCTGTCAGTGAAAGCAATGCACAAAATTATAACTAGGTTGTCAGGCTGCGTATAGTACCCTTGAAAATTGCCAGGACGCATTCTTGTTTCATTCTTTCATTGGGAAATGATTCGTCGAAAATGACGACTTGGCCTCCGGAAATCGACGGCAACAGTCTGCGTATTCTCCCGGGAGCATCTGAAATATCGTGACAGGATACTGAGGGCTTCACAGTTATCGAATTTGCAGAAACTACATTTTGAGGGCCATAAAGAAATAGGACAACTGGATGCAATTAAGGACTGGCGTGGAGGAATTGGTGCGATTAAATGAAAAACGTTCCACGATTACACGGTGCAACGAATATTACTTCGTTGGCTGACTGGTAGAAGAAGGGAACACTTACGGAGGAAATCTTTTCGAAAGGTCTCATTGTTTGGAACGGAATACCCACGACGTAGTGAACCTTATAAACATTATTACCCACGTAAAAATGGAAGTTAGCGTTCAGGCTTATCAAGGAAAGGATTTGAGACAGCTGAGGGCAAGTGCAAACAGAACAGCGCCCAGATAGTCCTCTAACCTTTTCGAGAAAGCGCTCGAGGGAAGCAATGGCGATGTCGCACATGGCTGTAACGGGTTCATCAACAAAATACTGACATACCTTGGCAAGCGCGCTGCAAAAACCCACTCGATTTTTTAGTGTGAGGTTTCACAGAAGAGAAACTGAAGTATCAAAAAAGAGAAACCATTATTTTGAAAGTCATCGACATGAACATATCAATGTCTGGAGCGATTTGAAATTGGAATTTGCGGTTCGCTCATACCGCTTTTGATGGCCTGGGTCCTA